TATTTTTAATCAAGAATCATGAACATGAATACAGAATTGTGATTATCGCCAACTAAAAATATAAAACTTACTAGTTTATGATAACAATAATAAATATTTTAAATATTTTCTTTTAAAATACATAAATTTTTTAAATTACATCAATTGTCATCAATCATTTCTAATTTATAAAGACAATTAAATATGAAGAAAAAAAATATGAAGATTTATAGATTTCATAAAATCAGTTAAAATAAAAAAAAGTAAAATTAAAAAGATTATAAGAAAATCAATGAAAAACAAAACTTTATTTACAGAGAAGAAAAAATGATTTTATAGAATAATATTTTATTTTATTTTAAATTTTTAAAATATATATATAAATTAGCAAAAAATTAATAAAATATATTTTTTAAATTTTTATATTAATTCGAAATTTAACTTAAATTTAACGCAGAATTTATATTTTTATGATAATAATTATTAATATTTCTATTGTTAAAAATTTATTAAATATTTTATAGAAAAAATATAGTAATAATAATTAATTAATAATAATTCAAATAATGATAATTAATTTGAATATTTTTGTATGAAATATAATATAAACTATTTTTATATTGAGTCGTATATCTACATTCGTATTATCCTATGATAAATCCAAGTGATATAAATATACTTATATGTAGATTGTGTCAATAAATGAAACGCATATTTTCATAAAATTTATATAATTAAATCGTATTAAATCTTAATAATTTGATATATTATAAATATAGATGATTATATATTATCGATATTAAAATTTTTTTTATGTGCAAATTTTAATGAATATGTTTTTATATTAATTATTATATATATCAAGATGTTGATTTTTTGTAACGTAAATAAGTAATTTCATAATCATTCTATTTAAAAATAAAATTTAATTCATGAATATAATTATAATAACGGAACTAATAATTTTGAACAATGTTTAAATCAAATCAAGAACCTGATATACCTGCAGCATTAGGTCTATTGTCGCATCTAACAAACGACGAACTAAAAGAATTATTAAATGATGATTCAAAATTCGAAGATATTGTGAAAGATGTAAAACAAGTAATTTATATTTTTTTTATAATTATTTTATTTTTATTTTTATAATTTATAATTTATAATTTGTTCATTATAAAATTTTATATAATGATTTCAAATTTTATTTTTCTCTTAGTTTAAAAATTTAGAAACTGAAAAGGAATTATTAATGGCAAGTAACACATCTCTGGCAGAGTTTAATTTATCGAAACAACCTGAATTACAAGAGGGTAAACAAATATTAAAAGAACTTAGTGAAAAAGGAAATAGATTATGCATAAGTGTAAAAGAAAAATTAGAAGAAATAAGTATGTATTCTCACGTTACATTTAATAATTTTAAAATGTGAAATAAAATTAATAATGAAATCAATAATTAAATTATTTATTATTGCTATCATTAATATTATATATTGTCATAATATAGGTAATATATTTTAAATAATATAAGTAATAATTGTAAACAGAATTCAATTCATTTAATTTTTATTTGTAGAAAATAAATCTGGAGAAATGACTGCTGATACTGCATTAGATTTATTGCAAACAGCAGCAGCTGAAATTGAAGAAGAATCAGAAGTATGATTTTATTAATAATTATTATAATTATTAACATACATTGCTAATCTTGCAAATAATAGATTAATATGATAACTTTAATATTAAATTTCATATTATTAATTCTCATTATCTTTTTTTATTTAATAAGTTTATTTAAGTAAAATTTACTTGATTGGCAATGTATTAAGATTATTAATATTTTATTAACATTTATTATTTTTTTATATAATATCTTTATTTTTTAATATAGACCATAGCTGAAAAATTTTTGGCTGGAGATATAGAGGTTGATGAATTTTTAGAGCAATTTTTATCACGGCGTAAATTAATGCATTTACGTAAAGTTAAAGTAGATAAATTAAGAGAATTAATAAGAAAATCTCATACTATGACTAGTGGTCCTGGATATCCAATTGCTAGTAATTTTCATAACTTAGTTCCTGCAATTCCTTATCCAACTGGACCTGTTTCAATGCCAATGCCTGTACCATCAGGTTTATCACATTATAGGCCATATTAAATTATATCTGATATAGAATGATGTTATATATTTAAAACAATTTAATCTTTAAATATTAAATTTTGCATTATATATAAGAAATATTTTAATTAATAATAATTTTAATAAAAATAATTTTAATGAATAAAAAGTATGAATATTGCATATAATAAAACAATCATTAAATCAATCATTTTAATTTAAAGTTAATATAAAGTTAAAGTAATTTATAAGTAAATTAGATTTTGTAATGTTATTATAATATATTTATATATAGACTTCATTTCTTGAAATATATATTAACGATATTAAAATACTATATATGTAAACTGTATACATTTTTAAAATAAGAATATCTAGTATTTTAATATACAATAAATAAAGTAATTACACATATTTAAAATTTTAAAATGATAATATTATTATTTAAAATGATAATAATATTTAAAATTTTAAATGATTCATTTTGATTCATATGTTTTTTTTCTATCAGTTTTTTTCTATAATATTTTCTAGTTTTGATATGATATTTAATATTAGTTTTTTAGTTGAATTGATTTAATATTAATAGTAATTAATTCAGATAAATGTATTTTTTTTTTAAACAATAACTAATTGTAATAATTATTTTATTATTAAATTAATTTTAGATTTAGAGTTTTTAATCATATTAATTTAATAGATATGGTTCATTAAATCAATTTTTAATTTAATATAATTAATTAGCAATTAATAATAAAAAAGTACATAGACAAAAAATAATAAAAATTTTACATATATTTCTGATTTATCTGTTTGGATAAATGAAATAAACTTAATATTATATTTTATACACATATATTATGTTTTATATTTTTAATTATAATGTTCTCCTATATAAAATCTTTTAAATAAATAATAAATAATTCTAATCAATTAATGTTTGTGATTGATGATTCCATTTTTTTTCCTATTTCTTTTTATAATCATTTTTTTCTATTGATGTTTTCAGATATAATAATATTGTTATTATTATTATTAAGATTATTGAAGAAGATAGGTTTAGCGATCTATTTACATTTTCTTTAACAGTTTCTTTATATCTTTTTTCTATATCTTTTACATGTAAATTTTTTTGAAATAAATCTGAATAATGTTGTTTTACCCATTCATCAAAATCATAAATTCTCCCTGAAGTATTACCTGTATAATGATAACTATTTTTTGTTTCATTAACATTGTATGTTTTCATTTTCTTGTGTTTATGATGCAAATGATTATATTTGATTAAAATAGTTCTATCATATTTCTTACGTGTATTATATTTGCTAAGTATATCATATGCATTTGAAATTTCATGAAACATTTTTTTTGCAGATTCACTTTTATTCTTATCAGGATGATACTTTAATGTTAATTTATAATATGCTGATTTTATTTCCTCATACGTAGCAGTTGGAGATACTCCCAAAATATCATAATATGTTTTGACTTTTGTACTTAAATTTATTTTTGTATTTAATATACACTGTAGAATTTTTTTATTTATATTTATCATCAACAAATGAATAAACATAATTATATCCTGAGATATAGTTTTTATGTTCTTTCACATATTATTTTATAAATTTTTATATATTTTATATTATTTTTATTAAACAACATTAATATAACCTATAAGATGAAAAAATGTAATTGAATAGATGTTAAAATATATTACGAAATATAATATTATAATGATTTAAAATCATCATATTAACTAACCAAAATAACTATTGTTTAATTTTATATATATTTATAATATATTTATTATTATTTTTCTTTATATACAACATTCTTTATATACTCTATACACATAATATTAAAATATATACACATTATACATACATATATATATTTATATATAATATATATATATTTATATATAATATATATATAAAATAATAAATATTAATATTAATTTATAACATTTATATTATAGTATTTCATACTGTACATGTAATATTCTATCAAATTTCATAAAATATATTAAAATTCTATATGTTAAAAAATTTTCAAATACGCGAAGAGGCACGCACTGTCAAAAACCATATGTGTGATTAATATAGATTGTAGATCAATAGTTTTGATTTTTGCAATATAGATATAGATTATCTAATGTTAAAGAAAGAGCTACAAAACTTCAAGATCGTTAATAACTATAATATAAATAATATAATATAATGTAATAAAAAATAAAAATTTAATTTTTTAAATTAAATTTAATTAATATAAATATATATGCTAATTAAATTTGATGCAAATAATAAAACAAAAAAATTGATTTAATCATTACTAAACGATTACAAAATACTTAATATTATAATTTTGATTTTAATTCTAATAATTGCAAGATTTAATTTCTAAATAAAACGTGACAACATATTTGAATTGAAAGTCTATTTCTATATATAAAATAAAAAATCAACTAATTAATATAAATAATTGTGTTATATACATTATATTGCATTGTATCATAGTCATAATTGTTATTTATCATAATTATAATATATAATATATTATATTAAAAAAATTAATATTTTTTAAAATTATGAAAAATTATAGGTTATATTTACATTATGATCAGACTTTTTCATTATTGCTAGCACAATATATTAAGTATTGGATTAAATTTTATTTATAAATTTAAAGCAAGTTTATAAGTTTGAATTATAATAATATTGATAATGAAAATTTATTTATTATTCACAAACGTATTAGAAATTTTCTATGATACATTCTATTATATTTAAAAATTGTATAATGTAAATAATAATTCATTGAATTATATTCAGTAATTATATTGGGCATTTTTAAATAACAATTGATGTCGCATCTAAGTATGTGTAAATTCTTGAAAAAAACATTAAGTTTGTTTTGATTATATCATACGATTTTAACCTCATTTATTATATGAATGAAATTAATTTATAGTATTAATACATTAAAAATTTAATTTAATTGTATGTGTGTGTGATTTTTGTGATTGGTATAATATAGTTTGTTAAATAAAAAAATATATATATTTTTAACAATTATCAATTATGCCGAAACGAATTGAAATTGGTAAATATTATGAATTATTTCAATTTTATCATAATATACGAAAAAAATATAAATATTTTTCATTAATATAATTATAACAAATTTATTTTTTTATTTATTATTATAATTATTATATTATTTTATTAATATTTTTAGTATTTTATATAATTATTTATATTTATATTTTATATTATATTATATTTTGTTTTATATTTTTATAAAATTTGAATTTTTTTACGTGTGTAAAATATATAATAGATTGTTATTATATACAATATTTTTTTTTCATTTATTTTATGAAGAATCTTATTTATGTGATAATATATATTTATTGTTTATTAAATAATATTAGTATAGAGAAACTGAAATTAAAAAAAATAGATAATATTTAATACAAAAAATTAATTAAATATAAATATAAATATTTTATATAAATATAATATATAGGTATTATTCCTGATAACTTAAGACACGAAGAAACTATTGTCCAAATTGCTGAAGCTCTTGATAATTTAGATTCTGCTGTTAATTATATATTTGAATGTATTGATAAGAGACTTTTTCAAAATAGTCAAAGGTAATTTTTTATCTATATTATTAAATATTTTTTACTTCTAAGTAAAAATTTAAGTTTTTATACGTATTTATAATTTTAAGATTTGAAAAAAATATAATAATATTTAAATAAAAAATTAATATAAATTTTCTATTATAGATTATCTAATGTTAAAGAAAGAGCTACAAAACTTCAAGATCGTTTAAAATATTTACAAACTAACTTAAATTTAAAAGCTGTAAAAATGTATTCTGCTGCAAGGTATCCTGCTAGTCAGACATACAAGGAATATGAGTTAGCTGTACCGCCTCAGTATGATAATATCAATAAAATACCAAAAGTTTATAAATGTTCTGTACCTATAAAAGATATTTCTGGAGCATATTTATCTTCTAATTGTAAAACAGAAGATGGTCAATATATGACAAATAACAATTTACAAGAAAAGCTACAATTTTATCATGTTCGATCTAAATCCAATAAAGAAGTTTATACAGATAATGAAATGACATTTCCTTTTCATTTATCTTCAATTAGTGCATTCTTGTTCAATAGTATGGATGATCCATATAAAATATCTATGAAACAAACTTCCCACAAATTAAGTGATAAACAACAAATAGAAGATGCACCAGATTCTATTATACAACCATGGTTATCAACTGAAATGGATTTATCTAGTAGTTATTTATACACACCAACTTTAGGAGAGGTAAGATTTTTTAATATATTAAAAATATAATATAAGATTTTATAATATAAGATAATATAAGATTTTATAATATAAAATCTAATTTTATATTATTTTTACATATTGCTTATTGATTGTATATTATTATTCAAATGAAAAAAAATTTACTTTTATCTGAAGAATTTATATTAAATATATATGAATAATAAAAAATTGTTATATAAAATATTTTCTACAGGTACCACAGATAAATGTGCCACCATCACTTCCTGATTTACCTGGAATTGTAGATGATGAAAAATTCATTTTAGATCTTAATTCTCAAAGTCCCATTGCTCCTTCTTCAGCAGTAACAACGCCTACAGTTCGTGTAGATCTTCCAACACCAACGTCAACAATGGACGAGAAGGATTCCAATACAAAACTAAATGAAATTATTCCAAATGTACCTAATTTTGTTGATAGCGATTATTCGAAAAATCTTACCGAGCTTGCTCCGCCACCTCCTCCTCCACCATCAATCTTATTAAATATAACAAATTCGGATTCTTTGACTTCTAACAACAATAGTCATTCATCATTAAATCCCTCATCATCAGCTCCTTTAATTACGCCACCACCGCCGCCCCCACCACCACCACCACCACCACCACCACCACCGCCACCACCACCGCCGTCTTCAGTTTCATCTGAATCTACCGTTATTGAATCTCAAATTAAAGATTCAGTTAAAAAAAGTGTCGAAGATTCGAGAAAAATGAAATTGGATGATAGATCGAATTTAATGGAAGCAATTCGTAATGCTGGTGGTATAGGAAGAGCGAAATTAAGACGTATAGTACCATCAGAAGAAAAAGGAAACCGTTGGTCCTCCGCATCTGTTGGAGGTGATTTAATGGCCGATTTGCACGCAAAATTAGCTCTCAGGAGAAAAGGAATTGCTGGATCTGGAGGTAGTGCTCTGGAAAGAATGTCCAGTATGATTCCTCCACCTCCTAAACCAAACGAAGCAGCTGCATCGGATAGAAATTCGGCTACTAGCGAATATGATTCTCAACCAGATACTGATGATTGGGACGAATAATAAATTACTCGATTATTGTTAATTATATATATATATATATATATGCAATTTTTTATTTAACTTTCAATTTTATGTTGAATAATATATTTTTATTATATTTAATATTTCATGTAAATTTCTTTCATTTATATATAATAAAAGTGAATTTATATAAAAATGAATTCATAACTTAAAAAACATTTATATAAGACCTTTTAAAGTGCTCAAATTAAATCGTAAGATATTCAAATATAAAAATAAACTCAAAATGCAACATTTTTAAGTCGTGTTTTATCTGAATGGAAATTCTTGATAAGAATTCTTTCATTAAAATAAAGATCCTTTCGATTTCGTTTAAAAATTAAAAATAAATTCCAAAAGATTTTTACTATTTTTCTAAAATTAAATCATCATAATTGTCATCAATATTCAAAAATAAGATCATAACGGCAATGTATTTGTATGGTTATCGGTTTTGATTTAACACTTGACCCCAGATTACTGGACCAAGCATTTACATGAATTTATAAATGTTAGTTCTACTACAGGAATTTCTACTGCAGTTTTTGCTTGGTATTCGTAGTGTTTTTTTTCGTAAAAAAAAAAAAAAAAAAAAAAAAATTTGTCGTTCCTTTATTAAGTCATTCATGTTTTAAACTATCAGTTAAGATGTCATATAACTTTGCAATCAATATTACTGTTTATTCCCATAATTTCTTCTTTTATACAAATAAGTTTTATTTTATAAATATGTGATATGAATTACCTACTGTCTAAAATTTTTCAAAAAGTGTCATAGTTTCTTAAAATTCTTCGTATAAATTTTCTTCGATAAATTGTTTAAATATATTTTAATTTAATGTACGTGCATCGAAACAGTTTAATCAGAAATAAATGAAAAACATTCGTAATAAAGCATATAGAAGAATATTTTGTACAAAATATTTGAAATGTTCGAAAATTATGGATAATTTGTTGAATTGATTAAAAATCAATTTAGTGATTATATTTTAAAAATTAAAAAAAAACAAGTAAACATAAAAAATAAAATAGAAAAAAAAAGTGATAATTAGTCGAAGAATTGAAAATTAGAAAATTTAAAAGTATAATAAAATTCTTTTTTGTGATGTTCAATTGAACATTATATGGTTAAAAAGCAAACAATTATCTCTATTTTTATTTAAATATCAATTAGAAATTAGAATTTGGAAGAATTTCATAAATTAATGGAAATTGCACAAAAGATGGAGAGTGATTCATAATTAAAGTACAAATGATTGATATGTTATTTTATGATAATTAGCAAATTTTCAAATAAGGTGAGTTGACTAGAATTATCGATATCGATATCAAACTGTATGGAAAATTTAGCAACAAAGAAAAAAATGAATTTTTTTTCTTTGTTGCTAGAACGACACGAAATTATATTCGTTATGAAATTACGAATAAAATGATATATTTCTATTTAATCTACATACGTATAGATTACTGAAAAAATTAATAATCAACACGCTTTTCACACGTGACGAATAAAATGTTACAAACAATTTATTTGTGATATTACAATGTATTATTTACACCACATCTTTTCAAGAAAGAATCAAATTTTCAAGAATCTAATAAAATTGTAATTAAGCATTAAAATTAAAGATAAGAATACTAGAGATATGAAATCTCTCTTAAAAACTTTTGATTTAGCTATTTCTTTTTCACTCGAAACTTAAATAAATAATATTTTCGTTTAATTATATTCAATAAATAATCTAATTTTCTAAAAAAAAAAGTTACAATTTTTATTTTTTGACAAGATAAATATTTCCGACATTCGAGAATTTAAAATAAATAATATTTTAAATTCGAATTTTAAAAATTAATTTGAAAATCGCTATTTCAATTTATCTTTAATTAAAATATATTAGAATACTATATACAGATTTTTTGACATAATTCACAAAAATATAAATTTTTTCGTTCTTTTTACATAAAGAATTGCGATCTAACATATAATTAATATATATGAAGTAATATATATTTCGATGAATTTATCTAATTAATTTTAATTTATCTAAATACAATTTTATTTATATTTGATTCAATTTGTTGAACAGAATTTTAAAAAATTTGACATTATGGGAAGCAGCATAAAAATAATCACCACCACGGAATTAGACAATTCGCGGGTTAATAATTCGAATTATACAGAACTATTACCGATTGATATGCGATTCAACGAAGGTCATATTGTTAGTATTATATTTTACAGTGTGTTAATGATAATATCTGCCATCGGGAATACGACGGTGTTAATATTAATTACATGTCGTAAACGTGTATCGAAATCGAGGATACACATTATGTTAATGCACCTTGCGATCGCTGATTTACTTGTGAGTATCATTCAATAAATTTTCCTCAACATTAAGCAATTAGAGGTGTGCATGTGTTCAAACTTTGGATGAGATACTGATCAGATAAAATCGAACGCTGAAAATGTAATAATATTATTGTAATAAGAATACATTGATGAATCAGGAATCTGAAAAATTTTTAAAATTCAATATATCCATTCGAATCTTAAGTTAAATCTTAAGTTAATATTATACAATATATGATAAAGTAATTAAAAAAATTAATTGTTTAAAACTCGAAATGAAAGATCATGAAAGAGCATTGTATTTGTATTATATATATATAAATTTTTTTCAGATTTATGAGCATTTATCAGATTATGAAATTTATGATCAACCCAATTTAAGATTTAAATATTAAAAAATTGTGAAGGATAGATCAGTGCTTCATCCATCTTGGGGCACGGTTATTCATAATTTAATACCTTTTGTTATAAGAAAAAAATAAAAAAAAAAAAACGATTTTCAGGTTACTTTTTTAATGATGCCATTGGAGATTGGTTGGGCGATCACTGTTTCCTGGAAAGCAGGGGACGTGATGTGCCGAATAATGGCTTTCTTTAGAATGTTTGGTCTGTACTTATCATCTTTTGTTCTGGTATGCATAAGTATGGACAGGTCAGTATATCGTAAGAGTTAAATTTATAATAATTGTTTATTATGAAAAATTAATTAATTACAATTGATTCTATAAATATTTAATTACATTGAATATTCGGTATATTTTATGAAAAATTATATATTAGTAAAAAAAAAACTTGATATCAATTTTTATCTATTTATTATTTCATTTTATAAATAATCCAGTTTGTTTAAGAAAAAAAAATAGAATATGATGAAAAATCATATATTAAAAAAATTTATGAAATAATATTTAGGAAGTCATATACTTTGGGATTAATTATAATATAATTATAAAAAAAAAAGCTTTTAAATGTTGTATTGATATTCAACTTTTTGCGATTTTTCTTTTAACATTATTTTTTACTCTGTTAATATTATATTTAATAAATGTATGCTATTAATACTAGCGTTATTTATTTTAATTATTTCACTTTAGATATTATGCAGTAATAAAACCACTTCAATTGTGGGATGTTGATAAAAGAGGTAAAATTATGCTATCTTTTGCTTGGATAGGATCTGTTGTGTGTTCTTTACCTCAGGTATAATAATTAATTAAATAATTAATTCAGATAAAGAATTTTATATCTTTATTTTTGTTTCATATGTATTTTTTCTTGTATGATTCAATGTTTATTTTGAATACAATCAATTTTGAAATAGAAAATTTCCTAAGGATATAAAAGATCTTTTCTAATATAATATTAATATAAATATTTATTAATTGTTATTGATTACAAATTTAATTTTTCTTATTACATATTTTTTTTTTTAGACGATTGTATTTCATCTAGAAACTCATCCAAATATCACATGGTATTCACAGTGTGTCACGTTTAATGCTTTTCCAACATATACTCATGAAATAACTTATTCTCTCTTTGGAATGATTATGATGTATTGGTTTCCTCTAGTGGTAATAATATATACTTATACAAGTATTTTATTGGAAATACGTAGAAGGTCAAAAAAAAGCGAAGACGGTACGAAAAAATTTATATTAAAGAAATCTTTTAGAAACAAAATTTTTTCTTTATTTATATTTTTTTCAAAAATAATAAATAAATATTAAAAAAATTAAGAATAATCTAAATAATGATATTATACGAGTTTTTAAAATATTTCTTCAAAATTATCTTTTTTAAATTTATATATTTTTTAATATTTTTTTTGTTTACTTGATATTTGAAACAAAAAATAATAATAATAAAATAAAAATAAAATAATTGTAAAAAAAAAAAAAAATAGAAAAAAAAAATTATTTTTATTTTATGAGAAAAAAAATAGAGGAAAAAAATCATAAAGAATTTTTATGTTTTCATCTTCTTGAAAAACATCTTTAAATTTGTATTAAAAATTAAAGAACAAATTTATCACACTTTTTTATAATTTAAAAAATACATAAAAATATATAAAAATTTGATATTATAAATTTATTTTTATAATTTATTAAAATAATATAATATCAATAAAAATTAATAAATCATTAATGAATTTCAGATAAAATTCGTCGTTCTTCAATAGGTTTTCTTACACGAGCAAAAATACGAACTTTAAAAATGACCGTGATTATTATAGCTGTATTTTTTGTTTGCTGGACACCATATTATGTCATGAGTCTCTGGTAAATGTTATTATTTTTTAGCATGTACTAATATATTATAAATAAATATTATGTATTTTATTATATTATTAATATATATTAATATTATATATTATTGGAATTATTATGTAGGTACTGGATTGATCGAAATTCAGCATATAAAATTGATCAACGAATCCAGAAAGGACTCTTTCTATTTGCTTGTACAAATTCTTGTATGAATCCTATTGTTTATGGTGCATTTAATATTAGAGATCGCAATAAGGTAAATCTTTTTATCTTTTGTTTAAAAAAATTAAATATCAATTAATTTATATGATTATTTCAGACATCTGCAAGACCAGCAACTATAGAAACTAGAGTCACACCATTATCATTATCGCTCAAACTTCTTGATTAATGTTTGTTCATATGTGAGATATTAACTGTATTCATAATATTAGATCTAGTCGTTAAATTTATCAAATTTGACTGTGATTATGATAAATTATATAAAT